TAGATCCAGTGCCTTTGTAACAGGTTTCACAAAACAGCCTTTCTTCCCTTAATAGTCTTTATCTTAGGTTTTAATTATGTCCTCCTTTATGGGATTAGTTGATTGGCATGTCTCTCCATTAGCCTGTAAGCTGTTTGCAAGTGGGAACCATGTCGTTTTTACTCTCTTTGTATCCCCAGTGCCCAGCACAGGGGCTCGTATCTTACAGATCAAAGAGAGAGTGAATGAAGAACTAGGTTCTGTCAGACCTGCAGGAAGCTCCACATTTCTTGTCCCAAGGACCACTGGAGAGTATTTGTAGAGCACCAAAGCATCAACATTGCTTCTTTGGACACTACTCATCATCTGTGAGTGAACATTTCTAGGGAGTCAGGAAGGCTGAAACAGTGAGTTTTGGGTAATCTCATAATTAACCCTGTTCTGAGTATGTAGCCAAGCACAGGCATGCAGAGATCCAATACTCCAGCCCTCAGCCGGTGTTCCTCTGCCGTCACAATGTCTGCTGGCCCATCACAATGCCTGTCATCTGAAGAGGGACAAGAATAGGAGATAGCTGTGGTTTACAGTCTGTTTACTTGTAAAAAAATAATCCAACTTCTCCTGCTCTGGTCTTAGTTATATTTCAGCCTTCTTTGCTTCTCTTCTTACCGTGCACATCAACAGTGCTGTGCTGGTACACAGGCTCCTTTCTTTCCTTGGATATGGACCTCATTGAACATAAGGGGAAAGTTGTAAATAATTGAAAGAGCCATAAAATTGGATCGAGTGTTAGGATTGTATAGACATAACGTACTTTCCCGTAAAATGCTGTGGGAATTGTTTTAGAATTCAGGGAAAACAAACAATTCCATCCCGAGTTGGACACAGTTCAACACCACGACTTCCCAGGAGTTGGCAGCCATGGCATATGTCTAGAAATCTGGGAAGTGAAAATTTGGTACTTTAATTTTGATTTTGCAAACTTGCATGAAGGAAGACTGAAATAGAGTTAGGGCATGGGTGGGGGACACTGAGTTGCTTTATGTTGGACAGATGGTATTGGAATGTTGGAAGGAAACTCTGGGACTGGGGCTGGGACAGGGCAAACTTGAGAGGTGGGTTGAGTGGTAACCCCTTTTCTGCCTCTCCCATTGGCCCTCTCCCCACTCTTGTGGGGCTGACCCTGGGGACTTGCTCCCAACCCGCTTCTTAAGCTCAGTGCTTTGAGAGCCTACAGGGCCTAAGTGAGGCAAGCCTGTGTGTCAGGAGCCTTCTCTGTTCAGCCTTTTCTGTCAGAGACCCTCCTCGTCCACTTTCCCACGTGTTTTCTGATTAGGTTTTGCCTAGTCTAGCTCCCAGGATCAGATCTGATTGGGTTTGGCTCCCAGGATCAGATTGGACGTCCTGCTGAGAACAGAAGCAAAAGTGATTGTATGTCCTTAAGGACAAGTCCCTATTTCCAGGCTCTGCTTATTCTAATGTGTGTCTTCCTTTCTTCATATCCATATAACGCCTGATCATGGGAAAATCACGCTCATGAAATTATGCTCATGGCATTGAGTCCTGGGCCACTTCAAAGTAGGTACCTACCTTCTGCAGAGTGCATGTAGTTTTGGTGTGTGGGCACTTCATTTATTTGATTCCTTAACCTGTGCATTTTTATAGAGAGTCCCCCAGAGGGCAGCAGAGAGCAGTCCCATGGCCCTACCGTGGAACATGGTGGGGTGCGGATAGGGCTGTTGGTTTCACATTCTACATAGGCTGCTGAGGGACTAGCTTGTGATTTGGGAAGCTTTAAAATTAACAGTAGAAAGGAGGATGCATGGAGTAAGGAATTTGGAACTTCATGATTCTAAAAACCAAGTGTGTCTGTCCATCAGACACGAGAGAACACGGGACGTTATAGAAGTCAATGTGATGGGCAAACATTTTCAGTGAGCAATTGTGTGTGCATTGTCATTGAGAAAAACACTGGGCTTAATTAAGACTTCGTGGTCTTTTAATGACGTTTGGTGGAGTGTGACATCAGGAGCATTTTCTAGCTAGTCTGCTTTGACATTCCTCTCACTGGGCTCTGGTAACATCTGTCTACCCTCTGGGCTATGAGCTTTTTGAGGGCAGGGACCAAGTGCTATTGAAATACATATTTCCAAACCCCCAGCAGAACACCTGCTACATCATGGGTGCCAGGAAATTGTTTAGTGGATGAAGTTCAACTATCAACTACCAAATCCTTATAGTTATAAAATAAACTGAAAAAGTCTGCCTCCATTTTTGCCAGACTGTTTGGGTTGTCCCCAAATTTCTGAGGTCAAACAACCACGTTCATAATCATCCTCAATAGCGTCTCTTTCTGACTGTCTAGAGCAGCCCTGGTGGCTGCCATCTTTGAGGAATAGTCATTGCCCCACAGGATGCTTCTGCCAAAAGAGGTACTACTCCAGGTGGTTATGGAACAAGAGGGCCATGGGCCTGGATCAGTGAGTCAGCAAAGGGCAGAGGAGCAACCAAACCTGGAAAGAGCATTGTGGGCAGTGAGCATGCACTGCTTTGACCTACTCCCCACGCTCTGTCCCTCCACTTTGCTCTTCAAATCCATATATTAGCATTAGATGATCAGGACAGACAGCAGGGGAACCTGGTATTCCTCTGGAGTTTGCTGTTCTCCCTGTCCAGACTACAGGCTGGATCTGCTACTTCAGCTGCTGCTTTTACGTGTTGGGACTAACTCTGGAGCCCCGCTCTGAGAGACATCTCAGTTTGGGGAAGGGAGTGAGTGGGAGGTGGACTTAGGGGATGAAGGGAAAGGGATTGGGCTGGCATGGGGTGGGCAGGGTGGGGGGGAATTGGGGAGATGGGTGAAGGGGGGTTGGGAAGGATGGGCAGGTTCTCCCTATTATATGAAATCCTGTCTTTATTAATGAATGCACCCAGAAGACATCCAGAGTGCGGGATTAAAATGGAGAGATTTCAGCAGGGAGAGTGTTGGGAGGAGATGGTGGGCAGGGACAGGAGCAATGCTGGGCTGAAGAGGGGAACAAAAAGACACTGGATATAAAGGGGAAAGAGGTGAGGACACATGAGCACACATGCAGAGGCCCTGGGTTTAAATCTGCAGGAACATCTCCGAGGCTGGTGGTGCACACTGGCTCCCGGCTTGTATCCCTTCTCACTTGTGTCTAATTAGCACCGCTCCTTGCTGTCAGCAGCAAAGGCCGCGAGCACTTTGTGTTGAGTTTGTGCTGGCGAGGTGTACCCTCCTATGGCCTCATTCCCCTCCCTCCCTGTTCCTGAACTGTGTAGAGGGAAATGAGGGTGTCTCTGAACACTGCCTGTGGGGCTCAGGAGAGCAGCTTCTGTAGGCAGAGGAAGGAGAGGAACATTCGTGGTGTGTCCCCACCCGGGCCCGGCTCTGCTTGGGGCCTTGACTGAACTCCCCCTTGGGTTCCAGGGCTGAGAAGGCTCACTTGCTCAGGAACACTGCGAAAAGGGTCGGGGCCTGTGGGGCACTCTTCCAAGGCCAGCTGCAGAGGCTGAGCATCCACCAGGCATCTGTAGACCACCGGGGCCTACACAGGGCTGAGCGAATGCGTTGCCACAGGGTGTCTGGACTCCACAGCTGCTATTATTTGTTTTCCCTTCCTCAGCTAACAAATATTCACCTTTCACGGAGTAGACTGAGCACACCCCTTAATCATGAATTTGGTGTTTTTACTGCCACAGACATCTCTAATGATGTTCTACAGCTTTAACTCATCTGAGGCCTGAGGCGAACTATGACTTTGCTCCAAAGCTGTTTCTGGTCTCCAGCAGGGCCTTGCTTCTCCAGGGGCACATCTACCTCTCACTGTGCTCTGACAGCCTCAGGGTTCCCCACCTTCTCCTACAAACAATTGATTTTCTCTCCTTTGGAGCACAGAGGGTGAAAGATTTATTTCGAGAAGAATCGAATTTTCCACCCTTACTACACACACACACACACACACACACACACACACACACACACGTGCAATGCGTTAGGTGTGGCTTGCGGGATCTTGCAGGGGATTTGTGGGTCCCTTGAAGCTTATCCAGGCACCTCAGTTTAAGATGCCTTAGTTTAAATAGAAACATCTTTATTACTGTTTCAGATACTAAATATGTTGGGTAGCTGGGTTTTCCTCAAACCTCTGTCTCCCATTTGCCATATGGCCTTTGTCATTGCAAGTCTGCTAACAGCTGCCTGGTGCTCTTTTGAGGGAGCCTGCCTGGGGGATGAGGTGGTGCAAGGGGGCCTAGGAAGAAGGTGGCAGGTCTCCAGGGCTCAGAGAGAGTCCCACTGATGTTTCAAATCCTGCCAAGGCTTTCCTGACATCCGATGGCAGTTATGGGGTTCCTGGCTCTGATGTCCCTTTAAGAGAGAACTGGTGGGGTCATCTAGCCGCGGACAGCCTCCAGTTGCAGCACCTTCAGGTCCCACTACTCTGTTCAAGTGCTGACCACTTTGTCCCCAGGGAATTCCTGGACAGTGACCAGGCCTGGCTACCTCTGCCAATGGGGGGCTTCTCTATGGGCACCCTAACGTGCTGTTGGGCCAGCAGGGCATTCTCAGAGATGGGGGATCTGAGGCTCTTCTGCCCCACCCTCTCCTTGCTTCTTCACAAGGGCCAGGTCTGCACTGTGGTCTCGGGCTTCCCCTGCCTCCTTCTGCTTCTGTCCCTTCCCTTTCCCAGATGTCCCAATAAATCTCTTGCACTTCTAACTCTTTCTTGGTGTCTGCTTCTGGAAGGACCTTCCTGACACAACTCTAGTCACTAGTGACATCATGGGTCACTTCATGCACTTCCACCTTACCTCCCCAGATCCCCACCTGGAAACAGTCCCCACTTCTTGCCAACCCATTTCATCACAGAGTTGGGAGTTTGCTGGGTGTTGGGTTCCATCCTTTTGGCTATGCAAGTTAGCAGGGTTCATAGTTCAGCACCCCTAAGCAGGGGTGCTTAGGTTCCCTGGAGATGAGACAGAGGCATCAGGTAGTCAAACACATACTTTATTTCTGTCTGAAGTTTCTTTCCCAGATCCCAGACTGGGAAACAGACCTGAGGAATGACCCCTCTCCACCTACACAATTCCTCCTGAAATTCTTCCAGGCCAGTGAGGTCAGCTCCTGAGTCCCTGTTTCCCAGGAGGCCACACAGTCCTTCCAGGAGAAAGGACATGCTGGTATGTCTTAGCACTCTGGTGTGGGCGGAGAAGGACAAAGATTCCTGCCCTTTAATTCCTTTCATAAAGTCCCTCTCCCCACCCCTCAGTTACTGTGGTCTGACTGTGAGTTCATGATATACATCAGAATGAGGAGGAGGAGAAATTGGCACAATTCAAACAGCACATTGACAGTGATCGGATCCCACGTTTTTGGAAGTAACAACAAAGATAGCCCCATGACGACTTGTATTCTACTACCACTGGACAGTACATCCAGGAAAACACAGGAGATAAACACGGAGGATCACATTTCTATGAGAATGAGACCCATGCACAGTGCAAACCATGGTGTTTCTTACACATGGGGGCTGACAACATTTTTAGAAGTTAAACCAGGTTGAAGAGTGGATCAGAGGAAGGCTTGCTGGGCTGTCTCAGTGGGGATGTTTGCCACCTTTGAAACCACCATGGCTATCCTGAACAGCCTCTGACTATGTGCAGTGATGATGCTGTCCAACCACACCTCTTCAGTTCCCACACTGACTGGTGGCTGTCTTCGGAATTATCTCAGAGAATGCCATTGCAAAGGCCCTCTGGAGGCCCCAGCCTTTCATTGCCCATGTGGAGTGTGGATCTTTAGAATCCTGTGGAGAACCTGCTTCTCAGCTGCCTACATGCATGATGGGCAGCCATGGCCTGTGAATTAGCAATGGCTAGTTCAGTAGGCTTCTCAAGAGTGGAAGGAGCTGTGTGTCCCTAGCTCAGGGCCAAGTTCAGAGCAGGTGCTCCATAAATCCTTGTTGAATTCCATCTAACCACTTCCATGGAGAGGGTGCCTCCAACTCCTTGACACTTTCTTCTTAGGTACTTCACATAATCATGCCAGATATTTACAACCCTCTGAAGTGAATAACACATACAAAGCATGATTCTTTATTGGAAGTATGAGTGACTAATGCTTTGGGCACTGACTTATGTTGCCCCTAAATTATGTCTTCCATTCCTATACCTGCATTGAGCTGGCCTTGCTTAATTTACATAATTTTTCCATGCTGCTTTGCAGAATATGGCTGTTGGTCTTTCTGGCTTATACTGCTGTTCAACCACACCCCCAGGCCTACCAACACCCTGGTAGGGTTACAGCCAGAACGGCTGGTAAAGGCTGTACACCCTGTGAGCTGCATTGTTCTCCTTCAACATTACAGATGCAGCACATATTCATTCTCCAAACCATGAGGGGGACATTCAGGGATATTACAAAAGGCTTCTGCTTTCAGCCACATCTGGACAAAGCAAAGATCTGGGAGCCAGAAAGAAACTGCATGCTCACCTGTTGGAAACCCCAAAGCTGTATGGGGACATGAAGCCCTAAGTTCCTGGCTCTTGGTAAACTCCTGTGGGGTTGGTGAGCTGTCCCACTCTGTAAAGACAGGAGGCCAGCAGGGCCCTGGGGCAGGAAGAGGAGAGTCAGAGGGTCTGAAGAGGAGATGCAAGGTGGTGGAGCGGGGCGCAGCTTCCTCCCTCACTGGCTATATGTATACTAGCCATATTCGCAATTAACTAGTGTAAAGGTAAGACCTTGGCTCAGTGCCCCTGCCTGAAGACACCCAAGAGGCCAGAGCAGGGAGCCCACATGTTCATCCTCCCTGATGGCATCTCTAGCTGTGGGACTCGCCTGCTAGAGCCTGAGGGAGAGATGTAGGCTTTGGTGTGAAGTCGTCTGCTCTGTCAAAGGCCAGGACTTGCCGGAGAAGGAACATATTCAAGGTTTTAGGATAAGTCAGAGAATGTCTGATATGGATATTAGCCCATGGTCATAGCAGTTGGTGTACTCCAGGAGCTGGGTATCAAGTTACTAGACTTGCTGCTCCTGTTCTTTCTGAGACTACCAACTTTTGGTGAAACAAACAAAAAACTAATATAATCTTAAACCATTGAATGTTAAAATTCAAAGGGACACTTAAATCATCTAGTTCAACCCCATAGTTTTACAAATAAGGAAAGAGGCTCAGATAGATTAGGTATGATGCAGGTCTCCTCATTCTTGGTTTGTAACAGACATTAGCTGGTATCAGTGGATATGTTCTGTTATACTGGTTGCTCAGGACAGGCCTGGGGACATAATGCTGCTGAACCTGAGGTTCTCAATCCTGTGATGTTTAAATGCACTGAAATATTCAGATGCCTGGAACAAGGCATCCATGCCTCCTCTTCTTGGATGCTTAGAAGACGGGGTTAAATCTTCACCTCAGATTTTATGGGGTTCCTTTTGGGCAGCCTACTGGGTGAGGCTGACAAGATGAGAGCCAGCAGCTAACAGAGGATAATCTGAGCATGACTGAGGACAGCTTTATTGCAGTGGGACAAAGGCTCCAGGCAAACAGATCAGCTTGGTCTGTTGCTACACTGCAGGGTTCATCCTGAAATGAACCCCCCGTGCAACCAAAGTTAATGCTAGAATTATGGAATGGTTTGTAGAGAAATACAAGCCCAGCTTTCCCACTTTACAGGCTCAGAGAAGTTCATGGATTTGTCTTGGGTCACACAGGATGAGGGTAGCAAAGACATGGAGAATCCAGGTTTTTAAACTCCAGGGGGATGGAATGTTTTCCCTAAACCACTCTGACCTGTTTCACAAGCCCCAGTGTTAGGGTATTTCTGATGGTTTCCAGATCAAGGAGTTATCCATGCATAACTGAAAAAAGACTAAGATGGTGGTGGCTGTGCCTGTAGAAGACCCCGTGTTCTAGGAGAGCATGTTGGAGTAGAAGCTGAAGCTCTCCGTCACGGTCTTGGAGTTGCTGCGGGAGGAGCCATTGGAGGTCAGGTCCTGGGATGAGGACGTGGCCTTGGGGCCATCCTCGGGCTCCTCCTCCTGGGCCCCTGTCACTGTGGAGACTGTGGTCTCCAAGCGGCTGACTTTATACACGCTGCCCTGGGTCTGGAGGTACCGGGTGGATTTCATTTCCAGCCCCTCATAGTCGCCAGCACTGATGAAGGGGCAGCACCGGAAGGCGTGCTTGAAGCCCAGACGGAACCTGGGGAGAGAGCAGACGGAGAGGTGACCGCCGGGCATGGCCTGCCTTCAGAGGGGTTCCACCACTGCATCAGCTCTCTAGCACATGGACATACCTAAGTGTGACTCCATTATCATTTTTTAAATTAATTGATAGCTGGAGAAGCTTGGACCAAAAACACTTAAAGGTCAGTCATCAAGGTCAAGTCCAGGACTAGAACCCAGGTTCACATGAAATGCATATCTTCACTGAGGGCAGCTGTTGCACTTTACTGCCTCCACCTATGTGGGGTCAGTTGACTTTGGGTAAAATTCAACATCAATAAAAACATCCACCAAATGCTTACTATGTGCTTGTCACCAGGTGGTAAAAATACACGTCAGGAATCAGTCCTTCCCCCAGTAGCCTGCTGACTGAGGATGACTCTCTGCTAATCACATCCCTTCAGGGTGCCTCAGTTTGCCTGTGTGATGAGCAGAGAGAATCAGCCTTCATTTAAACACATAGTGGGAGATTTAACATAAAAATGTTTAGACAGGTTGTCAGGCTCTTAGAAGAAGGACAAATCTGTGAGTTAGGCTAACAGACCATTCAAACAAGTTCAAGAGAATGTCACTAAATTAATAGCACCCAAGTGTCTCATTCACAGAAGGCACTTGATGTGCTGATGACTGACAGTTATAAAGACTATGACAAGCATTTTATTCCCCCCACCCACTGCCTGCTTTCCCACACGGCAGCTCTGCTGCTGCCCCAGATGATGCCTGAGCCGCCGCCAGGGATCCCAGCTCCCTCCTGGGGACTCTGCCCACCGCGGTGGGGCCCCTCCAGTTCATTCCTCACGGTTCCTCCTTTCTCTTGCCTGTCTGACATTGGCTTCTGCTGCAGGGACGGCTCTCCCCATGGCCAAGTAAGGGAAGAATCAAGCCTTGGAGGACCTGACTCCAGTTTGCTTACCTTGTGCTGCTGGAAATGCTGGCAGAAACCGGGGAAATCAGCCCAGCATGTATGATGGGCTGAGATGGGGACAGTGAGAGACAGGAGAAAGGAAAAGATGTGGGGCATGGTGTTCCAGTGCCCCCAGTCTCGCGCACTCTCTCTCCATCTCCATCAGACTTTCTGTGTCTCTGTCTGACTCCCTCACTCTCTGACTCCCTCCCTTTCTCTCTCTGCATTCAGAGCCTTCTGTGGATCTATAGGGCAGAGTGAGCAAACTCAAGGGCCATGTGCTGGATTCAGCTTGCAGGCCTATTTACATGCAACAAACAGGATTTTTTATGCACCCTTACCCCCACCAACTTAATTAGCAGTGTTTAAAAGTTGGGAGAGTTCAAACAAAAAGAAGGATTTCTGATTCTTCTTGGAAGAGAAAAAAAAATGTCCACTCTGGATTCATATTCCTGCATAGCCATAACAGGCAGGGATTGAGCAGTGTGGTGATCATTTTGCTTCAGTCCCCAACGCTCCGTCTTGACTCACAAAGGCTTTGCTCATTTAGGCTGGCTTCTTGGTGGCTAAAAAGACAGCTGGTCTTGTGGCCCCTGGAGAGAGTGGGATGGGTTCTCACCTGTCATTGAGGCAGCAGTAGATGATGGGGTTGTACATGGTGGAGCTCATGGCCAGCCACATGATGGCCAAGTAGACCTGCTGAATAAACTTCTCCAGGTAGAGATCAGGGTTAATATAGGGCAGGAGGAAGAAGATGTGGAAGGGCAGCCAGCAGATGGCAAAAGTACATACAACAACGATCATCATCTTGACCACCTGGCAAGAGGGTGAAACAGGTGAGACCATGAGCACATCCCCTTTGTCTTACAGCTACTTTCTCTCTTCTCCTGCACCTACACTGCGCACAGTGCAGTATGGCGTGGGAACTATCTATAAGAAATGTATAATAACCCCTTTTGTTGGAACGGAAGGACCAAAGGACTTGGTCTTGGGAGGATCCTAACTGTCACTTGGAATCTTGTTAGAAATGCACATTTTTGGACCCCATCAGACTTAACCAAATCAGAAACCCAGAAACCCAGAATTCTGTGTTTGATAAGCCTAAGCCCTTCCAACGATTCTGATAGGCACCCATGTTTCAGAACCACTGTGTTATATCACCCTCCTGGGCAGTGAATGGAGACACCAGGGGAGACCAGTGAGTGAGCCTAGGGGAAGGAATGACCCAGGGAGGCAGGGAAGGAGCAGGTGTGTGGGGGGAAGTGAGCAGGGGCCAGCAGCTAGGCTTGGGCCACAGAGGGAGGGAAGGAGAAGGAAAGGGGTTTGGACAGCGAGGGATTGTTAACTGAACTACAGGCTGTATTTGGATTTTGTTAGTTTTGCACGCATTTGTTTTTTTCTTTTCAGTGTGTAGTTCTGTGACATTTTGCCACATATATGGATAAGCGAAAACACCACCACAATCAGTATCCAAAACTGTTCTGCAACCGCTAGGAAACTCACTCAGACTACCTCTGTACAGGCAGGCCCCCCCCACAGCTTTAAGGCCTGGCAACTTGATCTGTTACCACCTCTGTAATTTTCTTCCTAGTAATACTTTCCCATGTTTGAACCAACTGAATGTATTATTTTATCAAACTTAAAATTAAGAACAGAATAGAACTAAATAACTCTTCAATGCTTTTGTAGTTAAATATGTGTGTGTGCACGCTAATGGATTGACAGGTTGCAATTTTCTTAAGGAGCGAGCTAGGTGGCTCATGTCTGTACAGGCAGGCCTACGTTACAACTACAGTGAAGTAAGATCCTCAGTGGCTCCCCAGGCCCAAGGATGTTTTATGCTGCTGCCTCTGGGGCTCACTCATATGCTTGCTGGCCTGTTGCCTGTGCCAGGGTGAGCTGGGTGCTGCCTGCCCTTTGCTCACCTTGCGCTTGGCAGAGACTTGCTCGTGGTAACGGTCAGAGGAGTCCCCAGGGATCTCGCTGGCCCATAGGGTGATTCCCACCACAGTGTACGCATAGCCAATCACCAGCAAGGGAAGGAAGTAGATCAATACAGTCACACCGATGTGGTACCTGCAACAAGGTGGGTGAGAGGCGTCAGTCTAAGAAATAATGGTGATCAAGGCTTGACAACTCTCTTTCTCAGCATTTGCCATTAATAAGCTTGGATGGTAAGTCACATCCCAGGGAGGCTTGCCACCCACTTTGGGTAGGTGAGTGATATATTAATGGATAAATTAGAGAAAACAAATCTCTTCAACTTATGTTTGTCTTGTGGACTTTTTCCATAAAAATGATTCCTGTTCACCTTGAAGAGAAGAATAAACATTGATGAAAGGGAATTGAATCTGTTGTATACCTGTGACAATTTTATTTGATGTTAAGTTCAATATCGCCGACACACTCTCTAACAAGAAAAGTAAACTTAGTCTGCATTAACAGAAGCATATTCTCTAGAATGAAGGAGGTGATTGTACCACTCAGTTTATACCTGTCAGATTATACTTACACTCAATTTTGGCACGGGGATGTAAATCAACTTGTATGTTCAGATGAGAATCTCCACAATGGTTGATGAGCCCTAATCCATTCTATATGACAAATGGATTCACAGATATAAGAATAATTAACTTGAAAGAAGGAGAGAAGACTTATTCTATAATCAGTATCAGTGGGTGAAAGCTACTAAGTGTAAACCACTTTTAAGCCTGGCCCTTAAAAACATATCTCCAGATGGAAGCTGTCTGAATCCCTGAGTCACCTCTTGGAGGACAGATGCCAACTGACCTGAGTTTGACTGGAACATGGACAAGAAATAAACCTTTGTCATGTTAAACCACTGAGATTTGTTACAACAGCACAACTTATCCTATTCTGTTTAAGTCAAGGGTCCTAAATAGGACTTTCAAATAAATTTTTCAAATTGAGAAAGGATATTTTTCTCAGGGAGTGCTTGACATGCTTGGCTAGTTTTAGCCCTTTTCTTCTGATGTGAGTTTAGTGAGAGGCCCAGCAATTCTCATAGTAATAATAATAATAATAAGAGCTAATATTTTGGGGGTTTACTCTAAATCACTGTGCTAATAATAATGTTAATGATAGTATTAGCAGAAGACATGATAGTTAGATTGAGGGAAGTGCACAGTATCAAGCACTTTTCTAGCATTATTTAATCCTCAACACAAATGACTAGGTAGGTACTATCACAATTCCATTTTGTAGGTGAGGGAACTAAAGTTTAGAATTTAATTAACTTTCCTAAATTCATAGGAGGTAAAAAGAGGAGCTGGGATAAGAAGGCAGGACTGTGTCCCCAGAATCAGTTTCTTGTCACTAGAGAGAAGTCACCCAGTGATATTTTCTTCCAGTCTGTTTATTCTTATTCTCTGAAGTGATTTTTTTTTCCAAAAAGGAAAACCCACTTATTCACTCAATTTCTCTTTTAGCAATACAGTTTGTTTTCAGTCACTTCTTTGCAAAGTCCCAGAGTTTTACCACTTATTCAGCCTCCTCTGAATATTAAAATTTGCAACTTGAAGACACTTGAAGAGTTCTTAAGTAACAAACCACAGATTCAGCAAAGCAGCCTGCTGAGCACATATATTTTGTGCAGACAGGCTGTTTCAGTCTCACCAGGCTTTCCTGGTCCCCTGCAAGTGTTGCCTCCCCTGGGAGCCCTGGGGTCCTCCTGCCACTGTGGCAATGGCTGCGTACTGTATTTCCTACCCAATCTCAGTCGCTCTTCCCAGTTGCTGTAGACACTACTTGCAATCAAAGCATTTGGAGACCACAGGGGTAAGGAGGCCCTGAGAATCCCCAGGCTGCGCCTGCCTCTCCCCCTTCAGGGGAAGACTAGCCCTGCCTCATGCAGGCCCATATGCGGTTGGTGATCAAAATCCTTTAGGTGATCTGGCGGGGTCCCAGCCTGAGTACTGAGCATCTACGTGGGAGTTGGGGATGTGATGGGAGAATACCACAGATTGGTCCTGCATGCTCCTTAACCTGGACCAGTGGTTCTGAACTTCAGTCAGCTTCAGGAGCACTCAGAGAGCTTGTATAAATACAGGGGCCTGGACCACACCCAGAGTTTCCGACTCAGTAGGTCTGGGATTGGCCTGAGAATCTGCTTTTATAACAACTTCCCAACTGACGTTACTGCTGGCCTCAGTTCAGACTTTGAGCATCACTGTCCTGGACCAATGGGTCTCAAGTCCAGAATCACATGGGAATCACCAGGGGAGCTTTTAAAATCGTCATTGCTCAGACATACTTATTTAATTGGTTTGAAAGTGGGATCAGGAAACCACAGTTTAGAAAATTCCCACGTTATTCTGGCATTTAGTAAGCACTGAGAACCACTGTTTCAGGTGTATGAGATTTTAATGACTTCACTGAAGTGCATCTTAATCACATTTTCTAGTTTCTGTACCTAATGTCAAAGTTTCTTTGAAGTGGGCCTTGCTGACCTGGGAGGGACTGTACTTCCTAGGACTAGCCAATTCCTATAGATAACTTCCACAAGTGTGCTGTTCATATGCAAACCAACAGTCCAAGGCCCATCCCTGCACCCCTCCCCCCCCACCTGCTTTCTCAGCAGTTCTTGCCTGTGGGATGCTCTCCTGGTGCCTGATCACTTCCAGGACCACCTCAGACAGTTAGGGGTGACCTACACCCCCAAAGCCCACTGAAATGATTCACACTAGCCAATCATAAACTGTTTACCTTGCCTTGTCCATTCCTTCCCTGGACACAAAATAAAGGCTTTCCTGTGGTTCAAGTGCTCTCTCTGCTTGTGGCCCTGCATGCATGGGGTGCCCCTTCCTCTTGGGAACCATGAGTAATAAACTATCTTTTCAATGGCAATCATGTCTTGATCTGTTGGTCTTACCATACCTTTAAAATCTACACTTTGAAAATAGAGTGCTCTTTGGAAAAATCATAGATCAGATCATTAGGAAAGGAAAATGCTAAGCCAAATCAGTAAAAATAATTTAATAGCCTTTTTTTAAAAGAAGAGAAAGTGACTTTGTTATTTATTTGAAAACAACAAAAAGTATGGACTTAATTTCAGCTAAAAAGTGTTATAGTCAGGTAGAGCATTAGCCTGTCCATTCTCTAGCAGGCATAATTAAGAATAACAGGCATATGACCCAGCAATTCCACTTCTAGATCTACACTCAGAAGAATTGAAAACAGAGACTCTAACAGATATTTGCACACCAATGTTCACGGCAGCGTTATTCACAACAGCCAAACAGTAGCAACAACTGAAATGTTCCTCAGTAGATGAATGGATAAACAAAATATCTATACAATGAAATATTGTTCAGCCTTAAAAAGGAGGGGAATTTTGACATATGGTCCAACATGGATGAACCTTGAGAACATTATGCTAAGTGAAATAAGCCAAATGCAAAAGGGCAAATACTGTATGACTCTGCTTAGATGAAATAACTAGAATAGGCAAATTTGTAGAGTCAGAAAGTAGGATAGAGGTTTTCATGGGCTGGGGAGGGAGCTGGGAGTTAATTGTTGAATAGGTACAGAATCTGGAATGATGGAAAAGTTCTGCATATGGATAGTGGTGATGATGGCACAACACCGTGAATGTAAAATGATAAATTTTATGTTATATATATTACAATAAAACACATCCAGTTTAAGAACCATACTACATTTTAGATGAGCCTGGGTCCTATGTCCAGAATTGCATTCTTCTGCTCCCTCCAGGCATGTCTCAACAAGCTTGCCCTCCAAAATAATAAAACAAGCAAATGAGAAAACCCGTAGGGTTGATCCTTGGCCAAAGATCAAAAGCTAAATGCATCTTCCTACATCCTGCATAACCCCTTTTTCATAGAAATTGCAAATGCTCAGTATAAACAATGCCCAAGTTATTGGAAAATGTACATGACTGTAGAATATCATGTAGAAATGAATGGGATTCCATTATTGGAATATATGAACATAAATACATCTCTTCCATCTTTATAACTTCTTGGAGAGAAGTTTTACCATGTCTTTGTGATTAATTAGAGATAACCTTGTTTTTAAATTTTTTGCCAAAATCATTATTTTAGAGAACTGGCCAATGGAATCTAGTATAACCTTATTTTATGTGGCTTCATGCTTTTTTCCCCCCACTTTCAACTCTAAGGTTCCCTAAGTTCTCAATAGGCAGGATTTTATCAGCTCTCAGAATTAATATCTGCCTTGGGAGAAGAGATCAAGGCTCAGGGATAGGCCGTAAGTGAGCCAGAGAAAGAACCTGGGGTGGTCTCAAGGGATTGGGATTGGGACAGAAGGGACCACGGGGCTCCCTCTGGATGAAATATATGCGTTGATACTGATCATTAAGTCCTGCCAGTAGACTTATCAGTACTTCCAGAAGGAAAGTGTGCACAATTTCATGTCTTTGTTTTCTCTAGGTCACTGCTCTAAGCACTGCATGGGGCTTGACACGTGTTATAGGATAAACTTGCTGGATACAGACCGTGTAACCCCAAATCCTGCAGATTCCCCTGCCTTTAAAGCCTTAATACATCAATGCTCACTAATCCAGGCTTACTTATGTCCATAGATGGAATTACTCATGCTTAGGCATCAACATTTCCAGTGTCTGAAATAATCCTCAGCATTTGAAATCAACATAGATGGTTTTATCAAATAGCATCTAGACTGTCTTCCAGTGAACTTCATGGAGACTCTAGGTGACTTAGGGTTGGGGAAGAAGGAGGCCAAGAGGGCAGGGCTCTTGGTTCCTCATTTTCACTAATGAGACAGCTCTGCTTTGCTGGGTTGATACATTGACTTTCCTGGATAATTTCCTTTGATAGGGGTGCTGGTAGTAGATGTCAGATGGTCCAGTAAAGCTGAAAAGCACTGACATCATCCCAACCCTCATCCAGTGCCTTAACCTTCTCTGCAATATGCATTACCACATAATCATCCATCTTCTTGAGCACCCCCTGAAACATGCTGTTCACTAGTTCTAAAGCCAGTTCCATTAGTGATACCCTGCTTGTTAGAGATGCAGACTCTCCAGTTCCACCCCAGATGGACCAAGTCAGAAT